ATTGCTGAATTCTCAGCTGGTAGTAATAGATATGGACCTCGCGATTGTCGCCGCCCAGTTCGATACCAATATCGTGGATGACGCTAGCGAGAGACAGCGAATGGGAACAATGCTCGGCCCTGCAGGAATGAAGACAGGCCACGTAAGTATCTAGATATTTAAGTGATTTCTTATTAGAAGCTTAGGGTAAGATGGGAAAGTTGGATCTGACCACACTTGATCGTAGCTTGGAAAAAAGTGATAATGCGATACTAGGACATGCGTGATCAACACAGCAAACCTCTTCCTCCTCCTCTCTTCCCCCGTGAAACTTCAAGCGTGTTTGCGTTTTTGACACACTTCCGTCCAACCGCTTAACTTAAGACCTTAAGGTATGGAAAGGATTTTTTGGATCAGAATGCCAAATAACCTCATCGAGCAACTCTCTAGGCAAGTAATTTTGCAATTGCTAAATTAAGGGTAAACTAATGACAACGAAAGCAGAGTACTAGAAGATTGAAAGTTTGACTCAAAAATACAAGATATAAGTTTTTTTAAAGCTTTTAAAGTTAGATAGAAGAATTTGGATACATGAATAAAGAAAACGCAATTTCAGATTATAAGGTGGATTGCAATTCTTTCTAATGATTCCTTTCTTTCACACAAGACCTCAACAAGAACATATTTTTTAATCTTATCACCGAAGCTACTACAAGGCAAACGTGCATAATTTCTTAATTGGTATTAGCAAGGGATTTCATGGAGGAGTCTAAGGAAACTTATCACAATGTGGCTAGCTTACGGTGAATTCTTGGAAAGAAATGAAGGTAAATCAAACTCCGCTTTTTCCCTCTCTAATCCACCATTTGTAAAAAATCAAATTGCAAAAGCAGCTTACGAGAATGCTAACGTAGTCAGCCATAACGCCGGATACAGGGAGCCAGCTCGATCATGTGAGGTAGAATGCAATGTCCGCATAAAAAAAGACGTATGAAATGCTTAGTTAGAATTGATAAATGAACTATGTATGGCTAGACTGACAAAGAAGGATTTCAATGCATGATGCTCACGAACTGTGGACGAAACAAGACCATATAAACTGATGAGTCAAAAGTAACATTTGCAAAAGACTATTCTTTCATAAGCCGCAGATGCACATAACGGCTTGTTTTATGTGCGATTGGACAAATATCAGATCGATCCATATTTTTTTCGTAGCTTTCTAAATTTGAATTTATGCGATTTTTCTTCTCTGCTTGACGAGTTGTATGTGATCTGAAGGAATTTTTTCTGTTCAACCAAGGGCTATCGTCACCTTTTAGAATCATAGTTTTGTTTGGAAATACGAGTATAACAAAAATTAAAAAGCAGCTCTTCAATAACAAGAAATTTTCAAGGTCTTTTGATTACGTCCCAAGAGCAGTTCTATTCGAAATGGAAACAAAGTACTTAATTTAAATTGCAGCTGTAGCGAAAATGATAAGTCTTGATAAGCTATTTACTAGAAGAAAAGCGCTCGAGAGCATTCTTACTTAAATAAATTCAAGAAGAGTGGTGCAGTTGCAATGAAATAGTGCTTCTTAGATAGTATGATAAAATGGGGATTCGGCATTACTATTAATAAAGTTAATATTAACGCTCCTAATTAAAAAATGCTACTCTAGCCAAATTCTATTTCCTAGACCATTTCCTCCGAGGTAGGACAAGATTTCTTTATAAAAAGTTTATTATACAGAAGCGATAACATGACAGGACGCACGAAATGTGAAAATCAGTTATAATTAGGAGGAGTAGAGTAGATGAGGTAGTACATGGCGAGTAAATATATATAACATCAAACGAGGGGAGGGAACAAGGTTTACTAAAAGAGTTAGCCGAGCAGGAGCGCAACCTTACATCATGAGATTGCAAATATAGAGAACGATTAAATGAGTGACAGAAATGGAAATAGACAATACGCAAATGAGGAAAGGAAAAAAGGAGCGGAAGGGGAAGGACCAGCTACAATCATAGCTGATCCATGCGGTCTGGAGACCCCAGCCGCTTGGCCTTTCGTACTGCTTCTGTCCTCAGGGGCGGGGCTTTGCTCTTTTTATAGTTGTTAGGTAAGGGACCAATAGCGCATTAGATGATGACTAGCGCTTTTCCTACGCAGTAGTCTCTTTGGCCACTATAAGAACTACAAAGCCTCCTCCTAAGAGATCCTCTTCTTTTCCTGAAATTGTTCTTTCAATAATAGAAAGTCCCATTTTGAACATCCACTTTGTCTCGGAGGAGTGTCAGCCATACCTTTCATACAGGGAATGTTAGTACATATGTGTAGATGCGCAACTTCTTACTCGCTGTATAAACCTTCTGCTTTGAATTTGAAAGTATAGCTCATTACGGTCTTTACCATTTCTCAGGAAGTGGACGACTAAGCAAGTTCATACTATGGAATTAATTCCTTAACACCTTAATCGCACAATCCTTACAATGGCACACTGCGCACTTTACACATACAAATACTAAATTGATCCTTCTTAAGGTGAACCTTCACAAGTGGGAAAAATAACAAAAGAGTAGTGAAAATCTCTAAAAATGTGTGGACTAATTGTTCAAATTTACTTTTTGCGAAAATATGTAA